AATCAGCACAAGCCCTTTTAAGTCAAGGGTAACTGGGAGAATAATAATAATTACTACTTACAATATTTCTCATAGGTATGATGTAATTGTGCAATACATGTTATAATACATGATGCAGACATTGAGATATCAAAGCGCACGTTTTATAGCCAGGTCAGTTTACAAGTGGCATTAAATTACCAAGACCACAAATAAATAAATGAATAACATATTCAGCTCACAAAATCACAGGCGTGACACCCAAGCAATTCTGTTGCACAAAGCACTTAGGAGACAGAATATGCAATCATACATATTTATGGTGGGTACAATTTATAGCGAGGTCAGTTTGCTAGTGACAACTAAATAATAATAAAAAGTAAATTCAACTCACAAAATCACAGGCGTGACACCCAAGCAATTCTGTTGCATGAAGCACTTAGGAGATAGAATTTATCTTTATATTTGCAAAGCTCACAAACCAATCAAAGGAATGGTGGTATATTTTGCCAGCAGCCGATTCCTGTGTCCTGCGACTGTAATGTAACAATATTATTACAATGTAACATTTTTTAAAAGCAGCTCATTTAATGAAGTACATAGTCACATTATTATTAAAAGTTAATGGATATATCAGTTATACTTCAAAATATTTTTTTCAGTAGTGAATATAATTATTATTTTTACTGTACACCTACTTTTGAAAGAAACTGAATACTTCCTGCCATCTACAGTTATTCCTTTCTTTTTCAACTCATCTTTTTCCTCATTAAGCTTTCGAAAGAGCAGTCACAAGTCTTTTCTGTTTATCAAAAAAATCATAGTGTCAAACAAGATTTTTATTCATATAATATTATTATTATAATTTTGCAGTTTGTCTCTCAGTGATATTTTTTACATTCACAGTAGAATAAAGGAGACACATTCCTCATTTGGAATACTATATTTCTTACCAAAGTTCAGACTTCACTTACCTAGTTTCTTGGCAATTAGCAATGGACAAAGTGTAGACAGATTTGGCACTTTGAGTTGACTTGTAATCGCTGATGGCAACCACACCAACAGTTACTTGACTTTTCCCTGATATAATGAGTACATGTATATTAAATTTTAATAATTTCAATTATAGTTACATTTTTTAAGATAAAAAAAATTAAAAAATTAAAATAGATATAACCCACTACTGAAAATTGGTAAGTACAAGACAAAGCTTTCTTTATTAAAATGGCACTAAAAATATCTGGTTTATTTTCATTGGATTAATACTCCAATGAATGTGATCACGAATGCAGCTTAAATCTTATTCCTCAAATTACATTGACAGTGCTTTTCAATAACCTAATTATTTGCAGTTAGATTTGAAGGATTTTAACAAAATATGGAGATAATTACCAAAGAAGGGGCGACCGTCCACTTTGATGTTTAGTATCAATGTTTCTGGAGCATGCCCATGCAGTCTGAGCTCTCTCACAATCCAAACTACAGCACGTTTCAGGTCAACACTATAGCCTGGAATGGCTTGATCTAGCTTCTCCATTCCCATCAGTTTCTGTGTGACTGCAAATACACCTTGCCTTAAAGCAATTATGGAATTCTTAACAGGCAGTATTCCTTCATCTGTGTTTTTCTGGTAATTAAACGAAATAAAATAAACGTTTCCACTGTAATATTATTTGATTTCAAAGAAGAAAAAATTAAAAAATAAAAAATAAAAAAAAGAGAAAAAGAAATAGCCATTTGTAAAGATAACTTGGTTCTTTTATATTCTAAGTATACTTTTCAATTTAATGCATAGCTATAGGCTGGTACTTGTATTTAGTGCTTACCCCGGTTCTTCCAAGCTTTGTGAGGTTGATCATTTGCTGCCAGGATTGATCAGATAATCTAGTCTTTAATTTAAACAACAAGTAAATATAATCTGGAGATCGCATAGATGCTATACGTTCTTGCCAAACATCATCTGGAATTAGTCTTGAGCAGGCTGCTTTTGCTCCCTCATGGTTGGATACATTTATGAAGCAATTATGTAAAGCTTCCATGGCGTTGGAGTAGGCATCCTTGCTTTCTCTTTGCAGGGCACACTCTGAAAGAACAGAACCCAGGTCTTCGCCACGGGCACTGCAGAATTTCTTGATCTCAATCAAAAGATTGCTTGAAATCATCTCGATCTTCTTCTTTTTGGCTTTGGGAGAGAGGTCAGGGTCTTGTTTTACTTGGCTGATCGTTTCTGATAAATCAATGGTCGACGTACTTCTAGATAGTGGACTGTTTGTTGGCGGGCTTTCTATTGGCGCGCTTTTAGTTCGAGGAGTAGATGGAGGTGTATCTGGCAAAGGATAGCAGAACTCTTTTATCTGTAAGCGAAGAGCAATGATCTCTTCAGCCGCTGAGGCAAGCTGCTTTTGTAGAACTTCCACTTTCTTCTCTAATGCATTTTGCTCTTTGTTGACGTCGCTAGTTGGAGGAGGACCGCCAAAACCATTCATGTTTATTTGTTCCACTAGGGCCAAAAACTCGCGAGATTGGAGAAATCCAAGGCCTTCTAGCTTTTTATGCCTTAACAAACCGAAGAGGAGGCCAAAAGAAGTAGCCACGTGGACTGTATTTCCAGGTTTTGGCCGGATTGAAGAAAAATACTTGTACGACAATCGTTCGCCATTGCCATCGTGCAATTCATCGAGCATAATTTCTTTGTAATCATCTTTGAAATCCTTGGAATATGCCGATACAAAAGATCCAGGTTTTGAGCCACATAATGCTGTATTAAGAGCATACCATCTCTTTGTATGGCATAAATGCGGAGAGAAGACCTCGACGGCAGACACAACAGCATCACCTGAATGTCTTCTCTTCATTCCGATCGACGAATTGCGGGTTTCTTAACAGTAGTCTGGCTTTATACATTTTGAAAATGCGCGCCAATAGATCAAAATACATCCATATATAGTATAATCCCATTTCTAAGTTAATATTTTGAAGTTTAACCAACAATGTACAAAACAACACTTGGTGCCATTTTGCGAGTAAACCGCTGGCCGCTATGTGCGCACTTACCGATATCCGATATCAGATATTCAGTACGCCATGCCGAGAATCGACGTAATGCACAGTAGGCGCTATATGTTGTACTTAATCAGTTTCTGTTCCATAATAAGATTAATATTTTAATCCCTAGCAACGTTCAAATCCCACTGTGTCCAAAATTCACTCACTGCGGCTCCTCATGCCTTTAGGTAGAAGCAGGTCATCAACTGTGAACCCCTTATCAGCCATGACTAAGTCTTTGTCTTGGAATGGCAAGTCAAGAAATCCACTTCGTACAACAATCTCTCTGTCTGATATTGAACCTGTATAAAGTTCACTGATAAAAGTAATTGCTCCTCCTGGTGAAATCCCTACCAAACCTTTAAGTGTCGTGTGATTTTTGTAATTACTAAATAATTCCCCATTAAGTTGCAAACTGCTAGGCATTTGGCAGCGAACCTCTGTACAATCAATGATCACTCTGGTTGCACTGTATTTTTCTTTGAATGCTGAAGGCATAGTTATGTCAATAGCTTCTCTTGAAGGCCAAATATTAATAATGGAGAACTTTAAATACATAAAATTTATCCAGGATATGACAATTCTACTGACAGTGGGAGTTGAAATGTGAAACAAGTGAGCAAGATGTTCTTCTGCAAAACCTTGTCTTAATCTACAAAGCACAAGAAAATATTCATCAATAGCTTTCAATTTCCTTGGTCGTCCTTTCTCTGATTTGGTGTTTATAGTATTGGCTTCATCAGTTGATGCTGATGACCAGTATTTGATGTTTTGCCCTTCTTGTCCTGGATCAAGGTAATTGAAAATAGCTAAAAGGGTTTCATAGTTGGCAAAACCAGTGTAGAAGGTGACTGCTGAAGGTTCTGAAGAAAATTGATCAATTTTGAATAATTTGCTTTCTAGATCTACAATCTGCCATGAAAGACTCTCGATTTTTGCTTCTAGCTCCAGAATTTGATTTTCTAGTGAATCAAGTAAAGGTTCACTTTGAGTGGCCTTGTGCACATAAAATCGTTCTTCGGTTTGACAGCCCTGCTCTACAGACAACACTTCAGAAGACAGCACTTCAGTCTGAGTATACTGGTCGGAGGAAGATGGAGGAGTGTTCTGTGTATGAAGATGAGCTTTTTCTTGCAGAATCAAATGTTCTAAATGCTGGAGGTTTCCGCTTGCGAGTTGAAGTACGCCATGAAAATAATTTCGGAGTAGCTGATGGCTTTAGACATCTTGCCCGCTAGTGTTTTCTTTAAATCTTCTTCTTTAAAATGTCTGGAACATACCTTTGTGAATGAATTTGTTTGGAAGAATTTGCCTTTTTCTCTCCTAATAGCATGTATCCCTTGCTTTCGCAGTATTTTGTCCGTGGGAAATTGAAAGAAGGAAACTTAACAGCCTTTTTCATCACGATATCCCTTCTTCGTACAGCCAGGGACACAGCAGTGTGACGGCATATCTAACACTATAAAAACTACGACAACAAAGCGGAGAAATTTCAAATCAAAGTTTTGGCTTTTTCCAGAAAAAAATAGCTAAAAATGTGCTGTAATCTCAACTTTGACACATCTCAAACGTGCGACTTTCGCGGTGTTTGTTTTTGATATGAGGCCTTTGTGACCTCGTTCCCATGTTTTCGTCACTAGTCTCCCGGTCGACGGCCGTGAGCATCCGCCATTTTTGAAAGTCGTGAATAGCATTAATTTCCTCATGACAGAAATCTGTCATAAAGTAGTTTGGCTTCCAAGTGGGATTCCATCTGTGGAAGATGTCTAGTGCTTCACGGATTGATGAAGTTGTTTCATGTTGGATGACAAAACTGCCAACAGCAATATAATTCACATTTGTTTTGACAAGGAAAAAAGGGGCAACTCATATTTCATTGTCTTATATGTTGCATCAAGTAATGTTATTTCATTCCCATACTGAACCATGAGACGTTTCTGCCATTCTGTTTGATAGGCAAACAGAAGGTCTTCTTCTACATCTTCATCCTCCTGATTTTTGGCATTAGATGACAGTGCACAAGGCCTGAAATAGAATAAGTCACCATTGCATTCCTCACGCCACTTTTCTATTTTCTTTTCCAGGTTCTCTTGATCAAGTTTGTTTCACTGTTGTCTTATAAATGTGGTTCCTTATGTCAACATCACTTGGATGAAACCTCCTATTTGTCAGTGGTGGTATGGGCTGTCCAGGGAACATATCTGTTTTACAAACTGTTTTAGATGCCGTTTCATTTTACCTACAGTCTTTACTCCTTCCCCAACAAGATTGTTAATTTGGTCCACCAGACTCTTATCAATGGACTGTAAAATGCCACCAATCTGGAACATGTATTCATTAAAAATTAAAGGGAATAATTTAAAGCACACTATATTTATTAGTTTTTTGCAGTATTTGTAACTTCTTGAGAACCAGTGTTGACATTCTGAGCAAATTTGTAATAGATATTTCAATGATTGTAATCCCACACAATAATTATAAAAAAATAATACATTAATTAATTAATTACACATCCTTACTAATCTCTTCGGTAGCTCGATCTACTTGAAATTATCTGTAATGATAAGATGTAGAAATTAACCTCTCCAAGTACATGTTGCTTGTGGTCGTCCTCTCTTGGTAGGTGGATGTAAATCCTCCTTTCAAACTTTGTTTTTTTCTCATTTGCAATCTCTGTTTTAATCATTTTTGACATATCTCTGCAAAGTCTTTCAGTGTCATTCCTT